AAAAGGAGGGAGTATGCTAATTGACTGCCACACCCTCAAAGATGGCGGCGCCCACAGCCAATAAGGAGGGAATATGCTAATTGACTGCCCTGCCCTCAAAGATGGAGGTGCCCACAGCCACAAGATGGCCTGCAGGGAAGGGCAGTTAGAGGTGACTGGGCTGGCAGGGGAGGGCAGTTGCGGGGGACTGGGCAAGGAGAGGAGGGCAGTTGGGGGTGACCAGGCTGGCAGGGGAGGGCAGTTGGGAGTGACCAAGCCAGCAGGGGAGGGCAGTTGGGGGCGACCAGGCTGGCAGGGGAGTGGTTAGGGAAAGATCAGGCTGGCAGGCAGAAGCGGTTAGGGGCAATCAGGCAGGCAGGCAGGTGAGTTGTTGGGAGCCAGCAGTCCCCACAGGGATCGGGCCTAAATCAGCAGTTGGACATCCCCCAAGGGGTCGCAGACTGGAGAGGGTACAGGCTGAGCTGAGGGACACCCTCTCCAGTGCACGAATTCGTGCACCAGTTATATCGTTATATCATATTTCCAATCTTTGCAGAACTGTCTGATGTGCTAGCATTCACAACACGAAACACAATAATGAAAGGATTCAAGGATTCGCAAGACCTGCTAACAGTGTTACATCTAGTGGTCACTTCTAGACAGATATCTCCCTTTGAACTTTAGACTGTGAGTACCAACCTGGAGTCATCCCACTGTCCATGCCCAACTGCAGTGGCAAGAAGTGATGACCAGCAAACAGATGCATCTAACTGCTCCGGAGTATCTGCAAAGCCAGGCAGGATCCTACCTGTCCTACTCTACTTTTTTTTTAAAATATATTTTTATTGATTTCAGAGAGAGGAAGGGAGAGGGAGACAGAGATTGAAACATCAATGACGAGAAAGAATCATTGATCAGCTGCCTCCGCACGTCCCCCACTGGGGATCGAGCCTACAACCCGGGCATGTGCCCTTGACCGGAATCGAACCCAGGACCCTTCAGTCCAAAGGCCAATGCTCTATCCACTGAGCCAAACTGGCTAGGGCTGTCCTACTCAACTTTTATCAACTATTTTTCACTACAATGAAATTCCAAGCAAACAACAGGGAAGAAGGTAAAAGGGAGATTGCTTCCAGATAAACATCTATCCTTGAGGCCCTTGAAGTATTTACCAGTATAGTCTTCAAATAAAAACTCTTAACTTACATAGTATAGGTAGGCTCTGTTCCTTGCAATTTCCAACTAAACATTTCAAAATGAATAGTGGTACAAAAATATGAAAAGAAATTCAGGCTCACTCCCCCTAAGAGGAACTGAAGCAGGGTAATACTCACGTAATAGGGAAGTTGACAATAGTTGGGTTCTTCTCCACAAAGAAATTGTTCTTAGTGAATCTCTTAATACAAAAGATTAGATACGGAGGCAGCTTGGTGAGCTGGAAGCGCTTCAGAAAGTTCTCCTTGTAAGTCTTATATTCCTAGAGACAGAAAGAAAACTATCGAATTAGTGCTCGAGTACCGGAGCGGGGACACGAGGTTTGCTTTGGTTTGAGTTTTTCATATAATTGCCTTACACTTAGAATTCACAAGACACCTGATCCCAGAAACCATGTATAAGGCTTAGGAAGAAGACTTTGGCTAAAGCAGACTAAATTCCCTCAACTGTGGGCGTCCGTTTCTACAAGGAAAACAAAATGTCAAGTGAAAAAGAGGCTATGTTAAAAGCTGCAGAATTAAAACCATAAAAGTCTACTTAGTTCAAAATAAGGAAGAACTTCCTGGCCTTCGGATGCATGCACCCATGGAACAGGCGCTACGAAGCAGTGAGAAACCCTCATCACTGAGGGTGTTCCAGCAGAGGGGCCAACACACTGCCACGTTCCTTCCTCCTCAAAGACTCGTGGGTCGAGTACAATCTGTCAGGTAACATTTACTGAGGACTCACTCAGCATGTTCAGGAGACTGAATGGTGGGGGACCCAGGACAACCTACTCAGCCCAAGACGCTTAAAAGCTAGTGCACATAAATGTATTTCTCCTCAACACAACACAACTTAGCACAGTAAAAACTAAGAGATAGGAGTGAAGAACTAACCGTAACCAAAGAGGAAACACCAATGAGAAATTGCTCTCTGGAGTGGGTGATTTCTGGAGGTAACAACAGATCCCTTCAGGGACCCCAAGTTTCCCAGAAAAATATTTTAATTTAAAATTAGGATTGCCCTGGCCAGTTTGGCTTTTAAAAAATTTTAAGATACACATGCAGTAAAAGCTCAATATAACAGACTAATTCCAAAAGGGTGTCTGTTAAAGCTGAAAGTCCGTTATGTAATAAAGTAGGTTTTTCCAATGCATATGTTAAAAAATTGAAAAATTAGTTCATTTACCTGTTTCTACTTATGTAGACATATTTGTGTAATTAAAATTAAGTATATATGAAAAGTTTAATTTCACAGAAGTTTTCTATATATTACTGTAATTTTATTTATTTTTTTATTACTGTAATTTTAAATTTATTCTGAATAGGTCTAGTAAATGCATGCATTCACGAGTCACCGCGAGTAAACAAATGCATACGGCTGGGGTGTGGCTTAGTGCACATGGGAACATCAGCCAACATGTGTTAAAACTGCTGCAGAAAGTCCCCCATGTGACAACAGAACCAACTGCCACTCATGATGTGATGTGATCACATGCCGAACATAGTTTATGAAGTGGATTGGATTTAAATATGTAGACTGTAGTTGTAGATATGTAATATTTATTTATGTTGATGGAATTCTAGTGCATTTTCCAACATATGGCCTATTTGCTAAAATCTGTTAAAAATAACAGGGATCTTGAGGGAATTATGCTAAGTGAAATTAGCCAGACAAAGAAAAGACAAATACTGTACGATCTCACTTATATGTGGAATCTCAGAAAACCTCGAAAAACAGGTTGGTGGTTTCCAGAGGTGGGGGTGGGCAATATCAGTGAAGGGGGTCAAAAGTTACAAACTTCCAGTAAGAAAATAAAGTCATGGAGATGTCATGTACAGCTTGGTGACTATAGTTAATAATAATACTGTATTGTATATTTTATGTTTAGAATAGATCTTAAAAGTTCTCAGAAGAAATATTTACAACTATGTATGGTGACAGATGTTAACTAGACTTATTGTGGTGATCATTTCACAATGTATACAAATATGGAATCATTATTGTTGTACACCTGAGATTAATATAATGTTATATGTCAATTATACCTTAATAAAAAAATCAGCATCCAAAGCTTTACTTCAGATCTGCTATATCAGAATTAGCAATTTTAACAGTATTCACAGGTGATTTACATTAAAGCCTGAGACATTATTTGCCTAGAGGGTTTTAGAAGAAATAAGAAGGGGGTGAGAGTATTTGATGGGAAAGACCTATTTTTCTCTTTTAGGAAAAATAATTACTGAGAATGATCAATGTGCACTGTATGTCCCCTTGATTGACCTCAATGATATAATACAGAAATTTCTCCCATGTGTAGCCAGATCTGTTCCCAATTGTCATTTCACAAGCTGCCAATAAGTGGAGAGCCTAAAAGCAGAGCTGCCTTGGGCTGAATGAGAGCTATCAGAAGTGGACTCTTCCAGGTAAGAGAAAGATGATATCCCCCAGGCGTCGGAGCAAGGGGGAGCTCATGCCTCTTTGATTATGAAGCACATACATTAGGTCACTGGAAGTAAGTGGGGGTTGGTAGAGGTGCCAAAAAGGAGCGTCTGGTCGAATGTGTTGACTGGCCAGCATGAACATTGTCCCCTGACTCACCTGGGACACAAATGACTTATGTGTTACAAGTAAATTCTGTGGCCACATTTCCCCAAATAACATCTGATCTTCATTAGAGATGGCACAGTGTATTAACCAGATAGGATTGTTCTCCAGAGAACACACCTCGGGGTGGGGGTGCGATATGAACACAGCAATGTGTGGATAGCCAGTTCCAACGAGTTTTGAGTTGCTAACTGGCCAAAAGCATCTAGTCGCATTAGTTCATACAATAACAAAAAGAATTAAGAGCCTTGTGGTTGTTTTGGGTTGGCCAAGCTGTTGTTCAGACAACAGCCACTCAGAAACTAAGCCCGATCAATCAGAAGGACCAGGCTACCAAGTAGCCCCAGCCCCCGACAAAGCACAGTAGTTGTTACCACACAGCTGATTATCAGTCCTGGAAGACAGATCTTAGATGCTCAGTAGGTCTCCAAATCAGTTGTGAACACACTACACACATTCTACCAGGTTGAAGATAGAGGCTTAAGTGGACACTGAGCTCGCTCCCTCCTAAGAGCACATAGAATGTACAACTGTCCCTATAGCACTTCCTCCTAAGAGACAACCCTGAGCCAATTGAACAGCTTTTGCACAATAAGCAAAAGAGAGAGACTGTGTAGAGAAGTTTGGGGAACTGTGAGAGTTCTCTGGAGCTGAGGAAAAAACTCAAGACGGGAGGAACGGCTGAGCACCAGAGTTGGTTTCCCCTGGGCGTGGATAACAGGCAGGAGCTCTAGCCAGATTCTCTGGCAGACATGCAGGGTGCTACAGTGTGTCCACAGCCTCTCCTCCTGCACCTAGACCAGCAGGAACAGGAGGGCTCCGTAACATGCATACAAGAGGCCCCTCCACCCAGAGATTGATCCAGCAAGTACGGCAGGGTGATGCTGTACATGTACACAGGACTCCCCCTCCCAGACAGAGTGCAGAGCTAGAAAAATGCTGCAGTCCCCACGAGCGGGGCTACCCTGTGCAGAGACAGTGGGTGCTACTATGTGCCATGTGGTGCTGCCCCCCTGCAGAGTGTGGAGCGAGTAATACGCTATGGTACCCACATGCAGGGCTGCCCCGTGTGGAGTGAGTGGGCTGCTGCGGAGAGAGAGCGGATAGCAGAGTGCAGCTGTGTGTGCACACAGGCTGCCCCACCCAGAGAATGAGTGCAGCTTAGGAGGGCATTCAGAGGCAAGCACACAGAGCAACCCTGCCCAGACCCTGCTCCGACAACAGATAATTAAGACAACAGGGCACACCAGCACTAGGCAGCCCTGCCCAAATTAGAGGGACAAGGGAGCATGCACACACCAGGCTGCCCAGAACCCACTCCTCAGGCCAGGCAACACAGTAGGCACCACATGCACCTGCCCTGACGACACATGGCCCAACAAAACTGTTGGACACACAGAGACCATCTTTTCAAGTCTGGGAGAGAGAGCTATTCCATCCAACCCATAGGGACAAATACAGAAGAACATGCCCCAAATGAAGGAACAAGAAAAAACTCCAGAGAAATTCCCTCGTGAAACGAAGTAATTTTCCTGGTACAGAATTCAAAGAGCCCTGGCCAGGTGGCTCAGTTGATGGAGTGTCATCCTGTACACCAAAAGGTTGCGGGTTTGATTCACAGTCAGGGCACATGCCCAGGTTGCATGTCCAATCCTCGGGAGGGGTGCATACGGGAGGTAACCAATTGATGTTTTTCTCTTACATCAATGTTTCACTCTCTCCCTTTCTCTCTAAAAATACCTGGAAACCTGGAAATGGAAACAGACATCCAGGTCCAGGAAGCACAGAAAGCTCCAAATAAGATGAATCCAAAGAGAAAGACATTGTGGCACATTATAATTAAATTGTCAAAACTTAAAAGTAAGAGAATCTTAAAAGCATCAAGAAAAAAAATAACTTCTTTACCAGGACACCCTCATAAGACTATCAGCAAATTATTTAGCAGAAAATTTTCAGGCAAGACAAAAGTAGCACAATATATTCAAAATGCTGAAAGAAAATCTGCCAACCTAGAATATTCTGCCCAGCAAGGCCATCCTTCAGAATATAAGGAGAGATAAAGAGTTTCCCATACAACCAAAAGCCCTAAAGAAAGACCATAACAAGAAATAACATGAGAAAGGAAAAAAACTCACAGGTAAAGCCAAACATTTAATAAATACAGTGAAAGCTACTACAAAGGTCAAAAGAAAAAAATACCAACTTCAAACTACAAGAAGTAGTTAGAAGATACAATACAAAAAGATCTAAAACATGACATTAGTAACAAAGCATGGGGGTGTGTGTATAAAAATGTAGTACCTATAGAATATATTCAAACTTAAATGCCTATCAGCTTAAAATAGACTGCTAAGATATAAAATTATATACATAAACCTCATGGTAACCACAAATCTAAAACGTACAAAATATATACAAAGAATAAAGAGAAAGGAAGCCAAACAAAACACTAAAGAAAACCAGCAAGCCATAAGAGAAGAGATTAATAGGAGAGATTAATAGAAGAGAAGAACTATAAAAACAACCAAAACAATAAATGAAATGACAGTAAGTATATAATTATCAATAATTACTTTAAGTGTAAATGAATTAAATGTTCCAATGAAAAGATAGGTGGTGGCCAAATAGATTAAAAAACATGACCATCTATATGCTGCTTACAAGAAAGTCACTTCAAACAGAAAGAAACATAGAGATTGAAAGTAAAGGGGTAGAAAAAGATATTCCATGCAAATAGAAATGAAAAGAAAGCTGGGATAGCAATACTCATATCAGACAAAATGAACTTTAAAACAAAAAATGTAGAAAAGACAAAAAAAGGACATTACATAAGTATAAAGGGGTCAATCCAAGAAGAGGATATAACAATTGTAAATATCTACACACCCAACACAGCAGTATATATATATATAATTTATATATAAAGCAATTATTAATGAACATAAAGGGAGAAATCCACAGTAATACAATAATAGGGGATTTTAATAGCCAACTCACATCAATGAACAGATCATCCAGATAGAAAATTAATATGGGAATAATGGCCTTAAATGTAAGTAACATTAGACCAGTTCAACTTAATAGACATTTGTAGAATATTTCACCCAAAGACTTTTTTTTCCAAGTGCACATGGAACATTTTCCAGGACAGATCACATTAGGCCACAAAACAAGCTTAATAAATTCAAGAAGACTGAAATCATACCAAGCAACAACTCAGCAGATAAAAAGAAACTTTTAACTTGATACAGTAAGAATAAATTGTTTATTTATATTTTAGTTGTTTTTTCCCACTTTAATACTGTTATATTTTTTAAAAGATGGAAATTTTCCCTACCTTTATGAGTTTCTACTGTCCTACATACCCCTCCTTCCTCCATACTAACCAGAGGCAGAAGGTTTAAAGGGACATTTGAGAAATACAAGAGGGGGTACTATAACTCAAGTTAAGAGTTAGGGGGTGATTAGCTAGAAACAGCACGGGGTCTGGGAGGCTCACCTAGGACAACACACTTTATAATAATTACATTACATATGTGTGGTAATCTCCAAGTATAAAAAGAAAATTAAAAAGTCAAGAGAGCGCAGTCGGTGTGCTTCGGTGGCTGAGCATCATCCTATGGACCAAGAGGTCCCCAGTTTGATTCCTGGCCAGGGCATGTGCCCCAGTTTCGGGCTCGGTCCCCAGTGGGGGGTGTGCAGAAAGCAACTAATCAATGTTTCTCCTTTCTCTCCCTCTCTCTATCTAAAAATCAAAAAACATTTTTTTAGAAAGTCAAGAGAAAGGAAGGGGTATTAGCAGGGCTGGTGTGCAAATGGGCTACCTTCTCAGTGATGCCGTTGAACTTGGCCAGGATGTTGAAGAGCGGCACCTGGGGGATGATAAGCTGCTCCTTCTCGTCCTTGTAGAGGGGTGCGGTGGGAAGGTCCAGAGTGAGGTACATAAAGGTGGACTCCACCATCGTCTCCTGGTACTCATCATTATGAAGCAGCTGTTCTTTTTCTTCTGCTGGCTGAAAATGAATGGGGGGCAGGGGGACAGAGAAGGAGTGTGAGCAGCTCGAGACCACTACAGATAGAAGAAACAAGGTTTTGTTACATTTACATTGTGCTTCTTTTATATTGAAACTAGAGGCCCAGTGCACGACATTCATGCACTGGGGGCACTGAGGGGGCGTGGTGCCCTCAGCCCCGCCTGTGCCCTTTCACAGTCCAGGAGCCCTTGGGGAGCGGGCCTAAGCCATCAGTTGGACATCCTTAGTACTACCCTGGTGGTGGACCGCTGCATTCGCCACCCATAAGCCCGGGGGCACCAGGGGGCAGCTCCTGCATTGAGCGTCTGCCCCCTGGTGGTCAGTGCACATCATAATGACTGATGGTTCTGCTGTCCGGTCGATTTGCACATTATCCTTTTATTATATAGGATGAAGTCATCAGACTGGGCAGTTTCACCACCTGAATAGATGAATGCTAGAATGGACAGGCTTCCATCTTCAGAGAGTTCACTTAAATACTAGACTATTTTTAAAGCTTTTAAATGATCTAAAAAGCTTACCTGAACTTCCAAAAAAACACGCCAGCACCACCCAATGGCCAGACCAGTCTTAAACCAACAGGCCCTATCCAGCCACTAACTCCCAAACTTAAGCTCACTAATGAGCAAACCACCACTTGGCAGGTGTATTGTAGAACCTCTTCCTGGGGCAAGAGGCCACACTGATTCTCTGAGCATCTTTGTCAACCCTATATCCCCTCAGGCAACATAATCAGTCTGAGACTCAGGTTCAACCCACTCACCAGATCAGGATGAGGAAGTTTTTTAGTGAAGATCCTCATGGACCCCTGGAACACATCAGTCACAATAGCTGCACACACAGAAATCAAAATGCAAACTCTGTCAGGTTGGCAAACATTTCCAAAATATAGTCCTAACTTCTGAATTTCTGATTTAGAACACCTTCCAAGCATAAGATCCAAAGCTGTCACTAAACATAGAAGTATCTTTGCAATGTATGCCAACATGGTACCGTTATAATTATTTGTGTAAATAATTTTATATCTGTCTTCTCCACAAAAATGCCTTTGACCCTCTAGCACAGGGCCTGGCCCATAAGAGAAAAATTAAGTGCATTTGAAATGAATGAGTAATTTACAGAGCGTGGAGATTTACGAGTCACAAAAAATTTCACAAGCAAAACAAGATAAAGCTGACCCTTGTTTTACAATAAATGGGCAAATGTTTTTCATTAAATACGTACAATACTACAAATGTGTTTTCTCTTCCTTATGATTTTCTAAATAACACTTTCTTTTCTCTAGCTTACTTTATTGTAAGAAAACAGAATATAATACTTATAACATACAAAACATGTTCTGAGTTTTTATGTCATCGGTAATGTTTCCAGTCAACAGCAGGCAATTACTAGTTAAGTGTTTTGGGAGTCAATGTTATATACAGATTTTCTACTGCACCGGGGGTTGGTACCCCTAACCCCCATGTTGCTCAAGGGTCAACTGCACATCCAAGGAACTTCCCATGACCACATGCTGCCTGCAAAGGGAGACAATGATTACCATGCATCGGACATAAAAGGAAAATGACAAACTAAAGAATGGAGCAGACTGTTTTGCTCTGTGGTTAGAGTGTCAGCCTGTGGACTGAAGGGTCTCAGGTTTGAGTCCAGTCAAGAGCACGTACCTCAGTTGCAGGTTCGTCCCTGGCCCCAAATTGGGGCATGTGCAGGAGGCAACCAACTGATGTGTATCTCTCTTTGTTTCTCCCCCTCCCTTCCACTCTCTCTAAAAAAGTCGATGGAGAACAAGTGAGGATTAATAAAAAAAA